GGAGTCTGCAGCCGTACAACAGATTTGAGGTTATCTTTTGACTTTTACAGTCCCTTTTTATTAAAATGCTTAGCATCATAAATGTAGTAATAAGAAACTAATTTATCTCGACAAAAGTGCTACTATAAACTATTCTGCACTTATAAAATAACCTTTTAAAATTATTGTTTCTGCTGGTATCAATAAATTCATGCAAAGTGCTTAAAGGTCAGGCTTTGCCGGAAAAATGTCTTTTTGGCTTGTTAATTAAAGGTTCATAAGAACGAGCACCCGTTTGCTCTCTTGACAAAGGGGGGGGGAGAGGGGAAAGATGTCTATTACCAGAAATAGAAGGCAAAGGCAGAACAGGAAATGAGAAAAAAGAGGGTCAATACAGTTGATGGGGAAATAACCTGCACCGTTCAAGTCATGGTGGATGAAAGTTTGGACAGGTGCTGGCAGAAGTGCAGTGCATAAGTTTTACTCCCATTCGTGAGCTTGTTCCTTGTGAATGATGCAAAGAAAGAACTGACAACAGGCCATTCCACTTAGATTGTGAGCTGGGAATTCATAAAGAAATTGAATTTTACCACCACTTTGATGACCTAAGGCTTCTGTGTCCTTCAGCGCTCTATCTTCTGTCCTTATCAGCCTCCAACTGAGAAGATGTGACGTCAAGCTCCTTAAATTCTTGCTAACGTGTAGGTTAGAAACTTGCTGCTTGCTCTTCAGTTAGATGCTAAGCCAAATATATTGAGAGTTGTCAGTGGGAGAATTAGCCGTAGCCACATTTCTGTGTGAAGCTACCCAAAGACATAATGATGATGTCGTATGGAGCAGGAAAGTTAGAAGAGTTGATCTTGAATTTAGCAAGATGCTGTGTTGTATTCAGTTGTTAAGGCAGAAGGCAGGCATGATGGTAAACTTTAATAGCAAGGTTATGGTTAAGATCTCACTGTCCATTGCATGGGAAAGTAGTATTTTGAACTGGATGCAGTTCCAAACACGTAGCTCCTTCACCTGGGTAAGGTAGACAGAATTCACGTAGCCAAAATCTCTACTACGTGAAGCATCTGAGCCATGTTCAAGGGCAGTCCTGTGTATAATGCATTACATAACAAAATGTGGAAGTTAGTTGTTGTGTAACTAGACTACCCCTGACCAAGACAAAGCTGGAAGAAGTCCTCAGGGCTCCAAGATACAACTCTAGAGCCAAAAGCGTTCCCAAGCTAAACAACCACATCTTTGTCATCTGGGCAGACCCAGTTGTGCTTAACAGTTTTTAACACTTTCATTCATCTGCAGTTTATCACTTATCATCTAGATCAGTGTTTTTCAAACTTGGCAGCTTTGAGATGTGTGGACTTCAGCTCCCAGAATTCCTCAGCCGGCCATGTCAAAGCTTCATCTGAATCTGATGACAATGAAAAATAGACCTGGCCTTCATCGGCACAGCAGTTACGCTTTATTTTGGACCTCTGGACGACATAAAGATTTTAAAAGTGTGGGATGGCTATTGAAGCTGTGCAGGACTCCACAGATACCACCAGAAAGTAGTGGGAAAAGCTCCATTTTGTGCCATATGAGTCTTACAGGGACCACCCGTGCATGTCTCACCAGTATCTGGAGTACAGTGTGAGAATCAGAGATTCCCACAGAAATTAATGGAAAATTGGGTGTCACAACGTGGCTTTCGCTTAGCTGCTTCATAGTTGTTTTGGGACTATCACCTCTGCTTCCTTATTCTTGAAGCAAAATTGGGAAAGTTCTGATAAAAGAACCCCCCAAGTTACAGCATTCAGCTCCAATATAAACATATACATATGCATATATGTAACCATAACAGTATAATTGGGGGGTGGGTTTTTGTATTGGGGATTTTACTTTGTAAGTTGCCCAGAGTCACTGTGTGTGAGTTGGGTGGGCATATAAATTTGTTAAATAAATAAATAAACCACCAGAACGTGTTAAGATCTCATCTCAGAATATTAGCTGGTGGTAGATATCTTGGATTATTTCTGTATGGAAATACAGTTAGGTGAATTAGGCATCCTGTCTTTTCATCTTGTCTCTCTTTGACTCCTTATATTGAGTGTTTTCTTCTCAGGAAAAGTGTGTTAAAGTAACATTGCAAAAGAGTTTCTTGAACTCATATGGGAAAGTAGCAGCCTGTCTGCCCACCCAGACATTTAATAATTTAGTTAGAACTGCCAATAAGCCGACAAGTGATTTACTTTTGAAAGAAATATAAAACACTGACTCCAAACACATGTAACAAATCCAGCAGGTTCAAGAAGTGAATAATTAACTTTTGGGGGGTACTAAGCTTAGTGATCGTATCACCCTATAATACAAGAGAGTTCCGTTGGGCATTGGTTGGGTTCTGGAACACCTTGAGGTCTTCATTTAACTTAGACTAGGGATAAGGGAGACTCTGTTCCTCCAGCTGTTGGTGAATTAGTTTGCACGAGCTTCAGCAAGCATGGTCAGCAGTGAGAAGGTGTCCTTTAGAACTCCATAGAAATGAATTCTGGGAGTTGAAGTCCACATATCTATCTCAAAGTTGCTGAGATTGAGAAAAATTGCTTTAGAAGACCGTAAGTCCTCTCCTAAACAGTTGGTTAGTTGGTTAGGACTTAGAAGCTTGCCTAGGAACGAATTATTTTTCACTTATACCTCCTGTGTGTGTGTGTGCCTTTGAGTCAGTGTTGACTCCTGGTGACTGCCTGGACAAGTCCCTGCAGTTTTCTTGGCAAGATTTCTTAGGCCCGAAGCCAGCTGGGTGACCTTGGGCCAGGCCCTCTCTCTCAGCCCCAGGAAGGAGGCTTTCTGGGGCTGAGAGAGAGGGGCTGGCCCAAGGTCACCCAGCTGGCTTCGGGCCTAAGCCGGGACTGGAACTCCAGGTCTCCTGGTTTCTAGCCTGGTGCCTTCACCAATACACCAAACTGGCTCTTTATACCCCTGAATTGTTCTGTAACTAAGGTTCAGTTGTGATCATAATTAATGCTTGATATTAGAAGTTTTAAGAGGAACATATTTTTGGAAATCACTACAGCAGGCCTCCTCCTCCTCCTCCTCCTCCTCCAGTTGAATGTTTGGATAGCCAGTAGAGACTGTTCTTTTATGTCAGATTTGGAGCGACAGAAAAGCAATCACATTTTTTTTCAGTTTTGATGGATGCATCTGGCTCTGAACCGAGTCCGCACTGCCACACACTGAGTCTGTAGAAGAGTTATATACCTGAAAGCAGATAGGGTAGAAATCTTGACTGATAAAGGATAGAAAGAGAAGGAAAGGATGGGGGAAGGTTGGAAAGTGGGAAGCAAAGAGCAAGAACAAGACAGGCAGTGGTAGAGCTGTTCTGTTGCTTAGTAAGGCAACCAGTCCATGAGTATGCAGAACTCCATTTTCCACGATGCAAGCAACTCTAACAATATGTAGAGAGTTCTTCTGGGCAAACGCACATCATATTTGGGGATTGCACACAATTCGTGGAGCACTGTCTTTCTCACTTCTGCCTGAGGTGGTAGCAACTCCCATAACGTAGGAGTGGGGTCTGACGACTGCATTTATTCTCATTTTAGTCGTGCTCAGGGCTACACCCCGAATGACCACTTTTTGCCCTTATCAGTTGCATTTCTTCCAGTGGCCGAAAGTTCTGCCTATGCGTAACTCATTCCAGGTGAAATCAATGGTATTTAAAAATATTTGGCTGGACGGTACCATGAATAAATAACCAGCAATGTGTATCATTCTCTTTGCAGTTGGCTTCATACTGTTATGTTATCTCCTAATTATTTAAACTCATCTGCTTTTTCTCTCCCATCCTAAGCACTTGGAGGACTGATAAATAAAATAAACATATTTTTAAAAAATCAACACATTACAATTCAGAGAGAGTTCCGTGCAGGATTCGCTGGACAGCTTCTCCGCAGAACTCACATAGGATACAGGCCACGTATTGCATATGCGTCCAGATAATCAGAGAAATAAGAATCAGGGATGATCTACCCTATATTTTCATAATACCCTCCCTTGTTAAATATTAAACAGCCAAGCTTTAATATTAAGAGGTTGGTAAACATTAAGCACATATTGTTTGGCACTAAAAGTTTCGTAAGCGAAGAATACCATAATTTGTCTCCATTCTCCCAAGAGATAGCAGCAGACTTCTTCTTGGAAATAAGTCGGTGGCATTTTTGGAGCGCGTAGGTGACAGGACTAAAGATAACTTCATTGGAAAACATCACAGAACCAGCTTTCCTGGCCGTCCATTACCAAGAGAAATGAATTTAGCCATACAAAGAAACTGCCTGGCTGAGTTCTTCCCTCTCTTATTTTCATTTTTAAAAATTCTGTGCAGTTTTTGGTTTGCTTCAATATTTTTCTGTTTTCCCGATCACGCTGTGGCTGCTCAGATAAGCTGGGACGTCAACTCCCAGCTCAAATGAGTGGACTTCAACTCGCAGCCTGTCTGCCCACCCAGACATTTA